CTTATTTCCTATTTATTTTCATGGATCCACTGTATATATTTGAAGCACTGTATAAACCCCATTCTTTTGACTATTGAGCCGATGTGACAAGTGAATTTCTCCACTGTGAGATCGATAAAGTCTATCTTAAATCTTAAGTGGAACCAAACATGGAGAAGCAGCATTAAGTTCCTATGCTCCACTTGTCTGGAACAAACTTCCAGAGACGGTAAAAGTGCTGAAAGTCAGAGTTCTTTGAAGTCAAAGTTAAAAACCCATTGGTTTAGAGCTGTCTTTGACTGTTGAAATTAAACTGTTAATTGAGGTATTATTAGTTTAAGGTTTGTGGTCCAACTGTTTTATTTGTTTTATTCGTGTTTTTTTTATTATCTTAATTTTGTTTGATTCTGCTTTTGTTGTTCTTCTATTTTATTGTCTAATTCATTTAAAGCACTAGTCCATGTACTGAATTGTGCTATAGATATAAACTGGTCTTGCCTGTCTCGACAGCACTGGCTTGCTATGGCAACACAGCTTAGTCAGGATGATTTCCCTCTGACCGTTTTAAAATGTCTGATGCTTTGTACAAGCAAAGGTTGCTGGATACGTAACAACATGGAACTAAAAGCAGGTATGAAATCAGCAGCACCACAGAAGGGTTTAATTAGCCTTATATTCAGTAAAACACGGATGCGGATTTTATCAACATATCCACTGGTCTCCTTAACTGAATACTTAATCAACACAAATCTAGATTTTTTTAGCAGATAAGTTCCAAATGTAAAAAAAGAATGAAATAAAAGCGTTAAAGAAGTAAAGAATAATAACCCAATTACTATAAAAACCAGTTGACAAAGGGAGGGCAGCTGTCATTACAGACAACTAGCAATATTAATGAGACAGTCAAAATTATTTAACTCTAATTGGACACTATACAAGTAAATACCAAACTTATTAACAATATGTAGGAGAAATAATCCATTACTACCAAACAATAAACCTATTTAGTTGGTCCATAAAGAGCGACATACATGGGGCAAAGATATGTATTTGACTGAATTTGTGTTTTTGATGTCTGAACTATATTTTTTCCATGTCAAATTCTGGATGTTTAGAAATGAATTAGAAATCAACATATTCCTATTGTTACTGGTCATAATTTGCATTATTTTGATTAGGAAAAAATGTATTTCAGAAATCATAAATGCATATTCAGTCAAGCTGATAAATGTCAAAACAGCCACTTAAAATGTGTAAACATTTCTAGGTATATGAAACTTAATTTCTTCAAGTACAATTTGTTGTTTTTTTT